TAATGAAAGTGGCTGTAATATTAGTTGGGTAGATGAATATGATTAATCATTAAAGAATATGACATGAAGGAGGACCATTCTGGAAATATATCACTAGTTTGGTAAATCTCTGAGATTCATGCAGAAAAGCCTTATAACGACTCATTTCTCACATATTTGCTCTCATCAGAAAATACCGCAAGGTTCAGATATTCAACCGTACTTTTGTCACTTTTTATCATAAACTTTAATATGCTAACAAAGGAATCGACGAACTTAATATGGTATATCCTTGTCACAACAGATCCAGATTTGTGTGCCATATTTCAAGTTGAAGTCCATTCACACCTTGTATTTCTTACACATATGCATCGACCTCTGCTTTCTATATCTTTAACTACAAAGAAACCTCTTTAGTACATAGATATTGGACATCTGAAACATAATTGTCCAAAATGTTCATGTTCTTCTTCACCCAACAACTACCCAACAACCATAGTCCTGCGAACATATCATTTCTCGTGAGGTAATTATAGTTAACAAGAGGCCCATGGGCCACATCGCTCAATTGAGAAGCTTTGACCATTCTGTTCTTTACCAAATTTCCCCCTTGTAATACATTATGTATCCCCACCCTACCCCACTGATCATAATTAAGACATTTTGAAATCAACTACCCCAGGATCCTTCCATGTGCAAATAAATTTCAGCTTTTCTGGCCCAGTGGTTCTTGAGAAGAAGATTTTTCCTATATATTTTTATGTAAAACTTTGATCCCCCCATTGTGGCTCCACCCTTCCCCTAGGGGTCATGATTTGAGCAATTCAAAATCTACATTGCTTCCACATAAGTTTCAACTTTTCTGGCACGGTGGTTCTTGAGAAGAAAATTTTCAAAGATTTTCCCAATATATTTCTATGTAAAACTTTGATTACCAATTGTGGCCCACCCTTCCCCCGGGGGTCATGATTTAATTTAGAATCTACACTATACAAGGATGCTCCCACATAAGTTTCAGCTTTTCTGGCCCAGTGGTTCTTGAGAAGAAGATTTTCAAAGATTTTTCCTATATATTTCTATGTTAAACTTTGATTCCCCATTGTGGCCCCGCTCTTTCCCCGGGGGTCATGATTTGAACAATTTAGAATCTACACTACCCAAGAATGCTTCCACATAAGTTTCAACTTTTCTGGCCCAGTGGTTGTTGAGAAGAAGATTTTCCAAGATTTTTCCTATATATTTCTATGTAAAACTTTGATTCCCCATTGTGGCCCCGCCCTTCCCCAGGGGGTCATGATTTGAACAATTTAATATCTACACTACCCTAGGATGCTTTCACATAAGTTTCAGCTTTTCTGGCCCAGTAGTTCTTGAGAAGAAGATTTTCAAAGATTTTTCCTATATATTTCTATGTTAAACTTTGATTCCCCATTGTGGCCCCGCTCTTTCCCCGGGGGTCATGATTTGAACAATTTAGAATCTACACTACCCAAGAATGCTTCCACATAAGTTTCAACTTTTCTGGCCCAGTGGTTGTTGAGAAGAAGATTTTCCAAGATTTTTCCTATATATTTCTATGTAAAACTTTGATTCCCCATTGTGGCCCCGCCCTTCCCCAGGGGGTCATGATTTGAACAATTTAATATCTACACTACCCTAGGATGCTTTCACATAAGTTTCAGCTTTTCTGGCCCAGTGGTTCTTGAGAAGAAGATTTTTTAATGACCCCACCCTATTTTTGTCTTTTCTTTATTATCTCCCCTTGCGAGGGGAAATGTCCCTTCATTTTAACAATTTAAATTCCTCTTCACCCAAGGATGCTGTGTACCAAGTTTGGTCAAAATTGGCCCAGTGGTTCTTGAGAAGAAGTCGAAAATGTGAAAAGTTTACAGACGGACAGACAGACAGACAGACAGACGGACGGACGGACGACGGACAAAATGTGATCAGAAAAGCTCACTTGAGCCTTCGGCTCAGGTGAGCTAAAAATGTGGACCTTAATCCACTTAGTTTAAGATAGGACAAAACAGTTAAATCACCTAGTTTAAAAAGGCAAAATCTTTCTCAAAAAGACCCTTTGTCCGGAGAAAATTAGAAAAGAAAATACTCAAAAAAGGAAAATTTATTTAAAAAACGGTACAATTCATCTTTAAGTATATGCCATATGTCGTAATGTATTTATTTCAAAAATGTGCATTTAACTATATTTCACAAACGAATATTAGCTTATTGTTTTAGCTACATAAACTATGTTAAATCAATTATACATCGGATGAATTCATTCATCTTATAACTCCGATTATACGAATGTCTATACAAATAAAATTTTCCCTGTGGGGCAGTTGGAAGTTGGCTATGGGGAAAATACAACTCTACAACACAAGTGTCTACATTCTGAAATAATTTTTTTAATAATGACGACGTGGGTGCTCGAACCCGCCCTTACTGTACAGTATACATATCTCAAGCAATCAGATGATTTAGCAAAAAGTTTATGGGTTTAAAGTACCCTATTTGCAGCAGTCGCAACTGAAATGTCTTGTAAATTTTCTTTTATAATTTTAGCAACGGTTGTGGAAAACATATTTAACTCCTGTGTTTTTTTCATTTATGTTAATTTATTTCATTTGTATATTTCTTATAAAAAATAAAATTATTTGACTTTAGTGAAATGTATTCATAAACATTTTGTGCCATTAAAAATACTGCATAGGTATAATACTTCCGGATCATCGGTTTTCTGCGTAAAACATAAAATGAATAATTGTCCTTGCTTTGAAAGATTTTTTAGTTAATGTTTTTTTTTTAATAAAAGTACCTGATCAAAGATGCAATGTAATGTAAATATTTTAAAGAAGTCGTCGTACTCCGATTCTGTAATGAAGCGTATAGGTAAATGCAGTGGATTTGATTTTAAAGTGTTTATCGATTATATTCAATAGCTGACCATTATCAAAAGGTCAATATTAATTTTTCTTTTCGTTTTGAAATTGGTCATTTTTTGGAGTGGTATTATCAGCGCCCCCTTCAGACCCTTTGTTTTTTTTTTAATAGTTGTAAGTATGTCAAATGACAATCATTTTTCTTGTTCAATACTCTAATTCTGAGACAAAAAATTTGGAAAATCATAAATTACATGTAAAACAAGTAGCTTTGAATTTTGCAAACTATGTTGCAATCACCATATTTGAATTCCATTAATCATGCTACTGCGACAAAGAGGTCAGTGATGCCAAATTGATAAATTTAAGACAGATTCCTTAATTTCAAAATTATTTGAGAAGAAAAATTAAAAATATATTTTCATCATGCAATAACTGTTCGTAATTTCCATATTTGATTTAAAACATTAAGCATTCAAGTGCCTATGAAGACAGGGGTCTTAATCAGTGATGAAAACGGTGGTAATGAGTGAATAAAAGGCACAAAAGAGAGGATTTTATTCGTTTTGGAAAATGTCCCCGTTTAGATACAATAAAACAAGAACTGGTGTGTGAATATTAATGAGTGTGAAATAGGTCCCCGTTTGTGCTGTGAAATGTGCTTAGCTTAAAATTAAAGATATTGATATGTTCTCATTATATTTGTCATCAGGGTTACATGGTGATTAATATTTTAAGTCAAAAGGCACTGAAATATTAAAAATGAAGAAGTCCCCACTTTTACAGTCTTTAACCCCTGTCCCCGTTTGACACCCTTCACACGTATGTGTGTGTGTGTGTGTGTGTGTGTTTGTGTGTTGGTTATATAAATAAATTAAAATATTGAGCAAAAAAGTAGTGTAAATTTTATTTCTATTTCTTTAATATATTTTCATTTCTCGACAAAGTTTTTAGGGAACATGTAAAATTTTTTATGAAAATATAAGATAAGATAAGATAAGATAAGATATTCTTTATTTCCTCCAAATTAATGGAGAGTTTGTATGAATTAACAGATAATTAACTAATTAACAACAAAAATTGCAAAAAAGAAAACATATATATATATGTACAATTTTCTGCTAGGACATTACAGGTTTCGACAGTCTATGGCAAACAGACTTTTGTTTTTATAAACTGTTGAGGCAACTATTATCATTATGCATTTCCATTTTGTGAATGATATGTTTTCAAAACATGTGCCTTGAACACACCCCATTAAAGATAAAAACTGTAGTTCAGGATCTTGATCCTCAAACAAAACATACTCATTTACATCAAGTATATCTAAAATGTTCTCAAACATATTTTCTCTGTCGTCTAATAGTGTAAAGCAACTTAACATCAAGTGCATATTATAGTTACTTGTTACCTTATTACAAAATTGACAAACTTGACAAACAATTTTCCTCGATGAAACCTGAATAAAAAAAATTGATTAATAATCTTGTTGAGGGATCTTCTCTAGCAATCTGCCACAATTTATTTGGGTTCAACATAGTATGTATTTTACTGAAAAAAGACATATCAGGATTTACAGACAGAGCAGCACGCCATTGATTTTCCTCTGCTGTCCATATTGTTTTAATAATCATTCTTGAAAATTCCTTTTTACTGTATATAATGCCACAATTGTTTTCAAACATATCTAAGAGATTGTATTTGCTAGCCGTTTGTAACATGTTTTTGGTTGCAAAAAATTTTTCAGATACATGAATATCAGAAATAAACTTATAGATCTGATAATGTACAGAGTTTTGTTCTGACCTATGGAGTCTACCAAGGAAAAGTAGGCGACATTTATCAATGTAGCCCTGAATGGTCCACAGTCCAATATTCGATATGCTTGAAAGCGATGGAGAAAACTTTGAGAATCCTTGAATAATCCTGGCGAAGTGTCTTTGAACATATTCAAGTTGTTGCATGTCTGTTAGTGGTAATACCGGCCATATCTCGCAAGAGTAGAGGGCAGACGGTAACACGACCCGTTTGCATATTTTTGCGGATACAACGGGATGAATGTCAGAGTTATTAACACCAATAGAATATAAAGAGTGGATTTTTGATCTCGCAGTTTTACACACTCGTTCTGTAAGTTTGTCACTTTTCATATTTGCCTGGAGAAGACAACCAGCATACACTGTACTTTCAGACTGAGGTATTTCACTGCCAAAAAGCGTAGCACTACAAGATATGTAACATTTTTTGGTTTTTCTAAATACAATAAAAACACTTTTACTTGGATTATAATGGAGTCTCCAGGTAAATGCATAGTTTTCTACAAGGTTAAGTAAACACTGTAATGATGTTGGTGAATTGCTCATTAAAGCAGTATCATCTGCTAATAGAATACCTGGAATGTGTAAATCACCCAGTAAAAGGCCTTAGCCATTTTTGCATAGCTCATATAATAAATCATTAATATACACAAGAAACATAAAAGTACTAAGTACTCTTCCTTGTCCTACACCTTGTGAGATTTTAAACAAATTGGAGTTTACACCACAAAATGAAACAAAACACTTGCTGTCATTATACCAGTATTTTAAAATTTGCCAAAATCTGGGATCTAATCCAAGATTATACAACTTAAATAACAAACCATTGTGCCAGATTCTGTCAAAGGCTTTTTCATTGTCTAAAAATGCACAGAAAACTGGAGAATCTCTATCTACATAGTAACTAATAGCTTCTTTTAGAACATAACAAGCTGGAATTGCTCCATAATCATTTCTAAACCCAAACTGTAAATCATGTGGAAATGATTTGCCACTTCTAACTAAATCATCTTCAATTTTTGACAAAAGTATTTTTTCGAATAATTTACTTACTACAGATGTCAATGTAATACCTCTGTAATTGGTAGGAATACCTTTATCTTTGTTTTTACCTTTATAGATAAATATAATTTTTCCTACTTTAAAAATTTCAGGGACGTATTTTTCTCTAATTATAGCATTAAAAAGTAAGCACAGTTGTTCTGCTACAAAATGACCACTGTATATGAGGTGTTCGTTAGTGAGAAAATCTGGTCCAGGAGCTTTCCCTTTGGTAAGCTGATCAATTTGGTATTTGACTTCTTCGATGGATATTACGACTCCGTCCGTGAATAAGTTCTCGTTGTTCTGTAGATTACTGTCGATGTTCTGCACAGCTTCATCTATAAAGTGTGTAAAATTTTCATCAAATTTATCTGGATGGTACTCTTCATTAGCAAGGTCAGAATAATATTTTTGCCATAAATTACACATGTCATTAATGTTCTCAGCGGTTTTTCCTTTATAACTAAGTTTGGATGGAAAAGATGAACCTGATCGTTTTTTATTTTTCCATGCTGTCCTATAGAAGGTTCCTATGTCAATCTCAGCAGCTTTGTCAATTTCGTAAAATATTGAATTGTGCCAATCTTTTTGTGCAAGTCTGTGTAGTTTTCTGAATTTACGTTTTGACTTTTTATAGTTTTCATAGTATTCATTTTGTTTATCTCTAGGAGATCCCATAGATTTCCAAGTCCTTCTAGAACATCTCATATCATAATGGGCGTTGTTTAGCTCGGATTTTTTCCAGTATGGTTTTAAATGCGGGTTAAAATTTCCATGTGGTATATGTTGGTCGGAGGATGCTAGCAATGAAGCAGTAATATGGACAAGGAAAGTGTCGATATTATCCTTATGTAGGGAACTTGTATTTACTGGGTTAAAAAGATTAGAAAACGAATTTTTGAACGCTTCTAGTTTGGTGGTATCAGCAAATTTCCATTTTGGAACGATTCTTGAATAGTCGGGAGGTAACTGAGCGAAAACACTAGCTATGTCAATTTCACAAAGCAAGGGATAATGGTCAGAAACTTTATAGGCAAAGTCTTGATATACTTCTTTATATTTTACTTCTTGAGAAAGACATTCAGGAACAAAAATGTAATCTAAAAGTGACTTAATTTTTTTATCCTTTGTTTGAAATGTATGTTCGATTTGGTTACCAGTCGAAAATATACTGCAAAGGTTTCTGTCTAGCGTATTTTCCGTGAGCAGCTTTGATTTTGGACTGCCGGGTTTATTTCTAATATCTGTATTAAAATCACCACATAAAATTACAGGACCAGTTTCACTAAGTTCATCAAACAAGTCGAATACATCCTGCATCACACGTTTATATTCCTCATAATGATGGTTTGTTGAGGGAAGGAGGCATCCTATAATAAACAATTGATTCGATCTGTAGGTAATTTCAATTCCCATTATTCTTTCATTCGTTGTCTGGACATCCTTTACAGAAAAGTCACTCTTATTTCGAATCAGAAATGCAGTTCCTCCTCTAGTGATGTTATTTTTGGTTATTCCCGGTGTTGCTAAGCTTGTAATATTATCTGGCATTGATGTATGTAAACGTGATAAACAGTTTTTCGGTAGCCAATGTTCCGATATAAAAGCGATATCTGCAAATTTTGTTAAATCAGATAGCTCTGATAGGCAGGTGAAAACGCCATGAACATTCCAGCAAGACAGGATCATGAGGATTATTATGAAAAGTGTCACTGTCATTATGGATCGTCTGTGTTTTCAGGGTCAGGTTCAGTGTTTCTCTCATTGCGAATTATCCATTCTCTGGCAGAAATAGTTTCTGGCCAGAAGTCTGGGTCCTGTGTTTTTTCGTAGTCATCTTCATCAATGCTTGCACGAATTACAAATGTGGGAAATCTTCTTTCTGAATGATGTGCTAGAAGAAATATGCCCGACACTTTAACATCTCTTTCTTCACACCATTCACGAATATCTTTTTTGACCTCCTCGAACGTTGTTCCTCGTGCTTTTATGTTAGCTAACACAATTCGTTTAGTACGTTGTTTTCTGCGAACGAACGTGTAGCCTGTAAAAGTTGATTTTGGTTCCTTATTTTCATATTCATTTGCAGTTGATACCCACTCATTGTCTTTTTTTTCAGATGTGAGGACGCTTGCAAAGGTTTTCGTTTTACTTATATTTTCTTTACTTTTTGCACCATCTACAATGCCCAGTTCTTCTAAACAGCTCAAAATAGGCGAGGAATCTCGTACCCCAACTTTTTCGTTTGTTTCGTCTGTTTCATATGTCTGTGACACTGCAGGAATGTGAATCTCAGCATTTGTAATCACTGCATGATCACTCTTACCATCTTTCTGGTTGTAAGGGCGGACTTCATCTTCATCACTCCTGCTTGTAGAGAAGATGCCTGTTGTTCTTGCATGGTTATGTTCTGGTTTTACGAGTCGTGTATTCTTTTTATCAAAAGCTCTTGGTTTGGACTGCCTATTTGTATTTGTATTTTGCTGCGATTTTTGAATCTTCTTTAGTTCTTTTAAAATTTCTCCATTCGAGTCATTCGCCTCTTCACACGATTTCAGTTTTTGCCGTAAATATTTTATTTCAGATTTAAATTGTGTTGTAAAATCTGCTAGTCTGTTTTTTTCCTCTTGTGTGTGTGTGTGTGTGTGTGTGTGTGTGTGTGTTGTTTTTTGTGTGATTTCACAGGCAAACACTGCTTTTAGTGTGTGTGTGTGTAGGTTGTAGCTCATCCTGCAAGCATCCTTTTATGGTTTGCAGAGTCATCCCATTTAAAGCGTCTTCTTGACACAAGGTCCTGTTTACAATCTGCGATGAGTCTTGTGAAACTGAGTTCTTCATTTTATATTTACTCATAACTTCTCTTTGGAACTCAGCGGACGACACAATGCCTTCTGTAAAAGCATAAATATAGTATACATCAGATGCATACTTTTCCGTTATTGACTTCCCGGAACCTCTTTGTCGCCGTTCTGTTAGGAAACCTATATTCTTCGAGTACGGATTTTGCATAATCATACACACTTTGTCTTATTTCATTTAACTGCTCTGGATTTTCCACGTACCTTTCCACCATGTTCTCTATAAAAGTCTCCTTATCGTATTGACCAAACTGATCTTTAATTTCCTCATAAATTTCATTTTCGAGCTCTTCTGCATTTTGAGTGCAGTAGACATTATTTTCAATGAATTTTCTGCTACTATCCTTCCACCACAATAAAATCAGAAATCTTGCTTCTTTATTATTTTTAAACATTTTTTTCTCTTGAATGTTGAACAATTTACATTTGTTCATTTAATAATTATGTTTTAAAATTTGAATATTAACTAAATATTTAGGAAGCAAGAGGTTCGGCCTGAACTTCTTAAAAAAGCTGACGAATGCCATCACTTAATACTAGGGGTGTCAACGAATATTCGAATATTCACTCGATGAGTTGATATTCAGATATAAATTTATGATGCGAATATTCGTTTTAAAGTGTAAAAGCATTAAAAAGAGAGAAAAACCTGACAAGTTCAAATAGAAATTAAATCAAGTTTGTACAAAATTAAAAGAAACTGACTTCTTGGATTATCTTAAAGGTGTGAAGAGTGTATCTATTAGAGTAATTTATTCATTTTTTCACTTAATTAGTTTTATAAAGGTGTACAGTACTTACAATTAGCTTTTATTGTTGTAAGGACACAGTTTTAAAGTACATGTAATCACATTGATCCCTTGTTTATATAAATATCATTAAAAATCATTAACATGAAATTAATTGGCCAAAAATAATTGTTTTTAATATTTCTCTGTTAGATAATTGTTCTGCTTGGTATAATTGTAGGAGTTATCAGTGAATACTTTAGTAAGACGATCAATTAATCTGAAACATACTGAAGAAACTTTTGAATTTTCAAAAAAACCTTTCATTTTGGATTTGTATTCTTTCTATATTTAATAATTAGAAGAAAAAAAATAATTGAGGTGTATTTATCAAGCTCTACATGAGTTCTTATTCTAAAATAATGGCATAAAACCTATACTGCTTTACAGGAGAGTGAAGATATATATTTTATAATGCAAGATGTATTTATTGTATCGAATATTCGAATATATTCGAATACTTCTATCGAATATTCGAATATCAATTACTGACAATTTTGACATCCCTACTTAATACATTTCCTACATTAGAGAAACGTGACCTTATTTGGACAAATCCAAGGCTCAGTTGCCAACTAAATACTATTATAGTATCTTGAAGAAATGTGCCTGAGTCAAAGATGTTTTGAAGTGTTAATTTTCTTAAGTCTATCATGAAATGAAGTGCATTCTTTTTTTTAATAAATATTTGTTGATTATCATGTATAATCTGAATGGGTGGATTCTGATAAAACATTTTCTACCAAATGTAATCTTTTTAATTAAAAGAATATTTAATTTTATGTATACACATTGTAAATCTGAAAGTGCCCCAAACAGTCATTTAATGATTGAATCTTGTGAAAGTGCAAAGGGGTCAAGAAAAGAATCATTGGTTCCCTTGCTTAATAAGCTGTCTCTCATTATTTTACGGGGAAAGTATAAATTTATAGACTTTTTGTAATTATTTAGGTATTATTTGGGTCTTCATCATATTTAAGATTGAAAACATTCTCACAAAGACTTCTGAAAATATTTATAAATTCAGGGTGGAAAACTTACTAAGAGAATAGAGTTCACTTGCCTATAATGTTTGCAATCATAGATTCATTTTCAAGTTTTCTGTATTTAATTATTATTATGCGTATAACTTATTTGTCAATGATTTTTCCATCTCATTGCTTTTTATTAATTATTTCTGATCACAAATTAACGTGTTACAGATTTTCCACTACTTTGTGTATCATATTTAAATTAATCATTTTTTTTCCCACTGGATTAAAACAGTTTGTTAGAGAGGCTTTTATTGGTCAGTAAAGAAGACCACGCATTCAGGAAAAAAACAATATAAATTGACACTATTCATTGGATTATAAGCTAACAGCAGCTTCGGAATCTTCAAACCGCTGCTACAGGTGAGTGTTAACGTATTCCATTCATACCGCTGCTATAGGTGAGAGTTAACGCATTCAATTCATAAAGCTTATTAAGCTAGCGCTACAGGTGAAACATTTATGCATTCTTTTCTAGTTAAGGACTATTTATAATTATAGCGTTATTTTAATTTTTTATAGATAAAGAAGACTTTTCTGCTTGCCCCTGCTCACAACTGTAAGGTGGTATAGTTTTAAAGATTGCTGGATATTACATAATGGAAGCTCTGGTTCATTTTTCTACAGAAACACCTTTTCTCTTCACGGAAAACACTACCTCAAACGGCACGAGTCCATCCGTTGTTCTGTCTGATCACATATTAATAACGTTAGGTTGTATCAAAATATAATTTCTATACTCTTGCTTTACAAATGCAAACACCTTATTTTCCAAATCAAGATTTTAGCTTTGAATTTGGCTTTTTCTGATCTCTTGACTGGAATCTTTTTGGCCACCCCGAATTCATTGTTATACGAAAAATATCAGTGCGACATCAAGAAATATCCAGCATTTGTGTTCATTAATGTTTCTCTCTTTATTGTCACAATGTTGAATTTAGATCGCTGTTTCGTTTTCGTGTTTGCCATGCGATATTATTCTTACATTACAAAGAAACTCTTAGTGAAGTTATGTTGTCTGTTTTGGGTGTTAGGACTAGTACTTACTTATGGCATGTTTTTTGGGTACGAGGCAAAATACGGATTTTCCTGCGAACTTATGGCTCTTTCTACAAAGAATATTGTCAACACCAGTTTTAAGTGCATTTTACTAGGGTTCGTTATTTTTAATTTCATGATGTTCGGATATCTTGTGTATCGCATTCGTAATCGACTTTCCAGAGTATCATCTATTGAAAACTCGACTCTGCCTTCACTGGAAGAAACCAAAATTTTCCGGAAGGTTTCCGTGGTAACGGGTGTATTTTTAGCTGCGTTTTTCCCTTTCATGATGATCTTTACATTCCCAATCCTTGACCGAGCCGATGGAATAGGGAGACAAATTTACATCTTCTCTGCTACTATGGTGCTTTTGAACAGTGCTTGTAATCCTGTATTTTACGTATGGCGGTTCTCAGAACCACGATACCTCATAAAGAAAGTTCTGTGTTGCTGGAACAGACGCGCTGTGGATGATATTAACAGAGAATACATTCAACAAAATTCATCATACGATATATTTAAAATAACTACTTCGTCAGATTAACATAAGACTTTTGTCTTTATTTCTTTGTTGTTCAATGTTAAATTGCATGTTGTTATTTCTATAACTGAAGTCTTTTTCTGAGCTTAGCCTTTATTTTGTTTCTATGATATTGCTTATAAAGTAATCAATTGCATATTTCCCTATTGTAAATAATATTGAATATTGTAAATGCAAACTTTACGTGATAATTATGTCCAGATAATATCCACACCTTTTACTATGTATCACATGGATCTGATTAATTGTTATCAATATTAACTCGATAGCCTGCTAATTTGAAAAAAAAAGT